AAAGTTAGGACGATTCTAAGGGCCCACGCACTTTTGGGGCCCCCAGAGATCTGTTTTATTAGTAGTAACAGTAGTAGTAGTAATAATTACGGGTGGCTTATTTCAGCATTTCCGGCAAAATTATCTCTTATACCTTATACTGGAGGAAATGTTGGTGATGGTTCACCCCTGGCTAGGCCTATATACAGGCCCAGATTGGCCAATCGGGAGCACCGGGAGGATTCCCAGTGGGTCGGCCTGTTTTTTGGCCGCAAGGGCCGGTGTGTTGTCATGCTACTGGGTTGAAATATGCTGCCTGCACTCACAGCAGCCCTACTATTTTTATTTATTATTTTCTCACAGCCCATATTATTATTTTCACCAGACCATAATAATAAATTCTCAATTGATAATTAATCATTCATTTTGCGAAAATCATTGTTATTTGTGAACGTAGGTGTTTGGGGAAGGCTTTAAGACCAACCGGAATCCTCTACCGGCTGCTCCCGCTTCACAGCGTGCTGCACCCAGGTTCACTGGCGAGTGCAACTTATTGATCATGAGCCCAACATTTAGCAAGGCAGGAAAACATTCAGTCTACCTGAACGAAGATGTATTTCATTGTAAGTTAATGCTGTTAAATAGAGAGAGAGAGAGAAAAAAAAACTAGTGTAAGCTATTCTTTAACTTGGACCTCATTATATTGAAGTACAAATCCAAGCACCAGAAGCAACCGAATGAATGCATTTTTATTCATTCACAGGCTATATGGTTGAAATAATATTTTAGTTCAAAACTTTAAATGCCATTGTTTAAAAAAATTGCTTTATTGACTGACATTTCATAGACCTTCACTTGTTTATGCTTCTCAAATTCCATGCCATTTGTACTTTCACAGTATTTTCACCTCCTAAATTACTACCCTTGTAGTCACAATTCTATAAAAATTGGTAAAAATTTACTCCGGCCGATGGCATTTTTTGTATGACATTACATTTTTTTTTTTAGAATAATTGTACATAAATGGGTTAAGCAAAACAAATGTGATATTTCTGAGAACTTTTTTAACTGTAGGCAGATATAGGCCTACATTATTGTACAGTACAAATATTTGGATCGTCCCTTATTCTGTCCCTTATTTTCTTAAAGAATAAACACTTATTTTCTACAAGAATAAACACTATTTTCTTAAAGAATAAAAGATAAAGAATCACAATGAGCCCTTATTTTCCATTTCTGAAGTTAATTGGCAACCCTAATGATGATGATAATAATAAATTCTCAATTGATAATTAATCATTCATTTTGCGAAAATCATTGTTATTTGTGAACGTAGGTGTTTGGGGAAGGCTTTAAGACCAACCGGAATCCTCTACCGGCTGCTCCCGCTTCACAGCGTGCTGCACCCAGGTTCACTGGCGAGTGCAACTTATTGATCATGAGCCCAACATTTAGCAAGGCAGGAAAACGAAAACGAAGACGTATTTCATTGTAAGTTAATGCTGTTAAATAGAGAGAGAGAGAGAAAAAAAAAAGCTATTCTGCTATTCTTTAACTTGGACCTCATTATATTGAAGTACAAATCCAAGCACCAGAAGCAACCGAATGAATGCTCATTCACAGATTCACAGGCTATATGGTTGAAATAATATTTTAGTTCAAAACTTTAAATGCCATTGTTTAAAAAAATTGCTTTATTGACTGACATTTCATAGACCTTCACTTGTTTATGCTTCTCAAATTCCATGCCATTTGTACTTTCACAGTATTTTCACCTCCTAAATTACTACCCTTGTAGTCACAATTCTATAAAAATTGGTAAAAATTTACTCCGGCCGATGGCATTTTTTGTATGACATTACATTTTTTTTTTTAGAATAATTGTACATAAATGGGTTAAGCAAAACAAATGTGATATTTCTGAGAACTTTTTTAACTGTAGGCAGATATAGGCCTACATTATTGTACAGTACAAATATTTGGATCGTCCCTTATTCTGTCCCTTATTTTCTTAAAGAATAAACACTTATTTTCTACAAGAATAAACACTATTTTCTTAAAGAATAAAAGATAAAGAATCACAATGAGCCCTTATTTTCCATTTCTGAAGTTAATTGGCAACCCTAATGATGATGTAATTATCTTTTGACTCCCCTGACAGTGGCACCTTGCTCAAAAAATAATAATAATAAAAAAAACCTCAGTTGTAGGAGATATGCAAGCGAATAATAGATTTAAAGAAAAAAGTGGGCCGGTTTAAGGCATGAAACTCCCGGGCTGAAAATGAGTCACACTCCGGCCCTGCCTATATATATATATATATATATGTATATATTTGTATTTGCCAAAACTGATTTACTGAAGTCAAAACACAGACTGAATTTGCGTTATTGCGAGCGCCGCTTGCTGTGAAGCGGGAGCGACCAGCCGGCAGAGGATGTTAGGAGGACAGTGGAAATATGCACTCAAACACCGTACCAGGCTTTCTATTGTGGCAGCCCATCCAGATCCAGCAGCACCACCTCATCTGAATGAAAGTGTACATATTTTTTCCCCTGGGACACAGCTAGAGGATGTTAGGACAGTGGAAATATGCACTCAAACACTCTGGAGACCATCCCAGATGATATCCCGCTGGCAGAGCCCGTACCAGGCTTTCTATTGTGGCAGCCCATCCAGATCCAGCAGCACCACCTCATCTGAATGAAAGTGTACATATTTTTTCCCCTGGGACACAGCTACTGAGTGAGATCAGATGTAAACTGTCAAATTAGAGATGTCTTCCAGTTCGGGGGGGAGGGGGGACCAACCCTAACGATTTGGTCAGTCGCACTTGTAAACACATTTTAGTTTTGCTATAGAAAATCTACAAATTCATACTCTGATTACATAGAGCAGCAGCAAGTTCATGCTCATCGGAACAGCAAGTTCACTCAAAAATTGAGCCGACAGGAAACATTGATGTAGTACAGTATTGTTTCTGTCTGCAATAGCCCTACTGTGTTGTAACATGGTGTGGTATACAGTGTTGGGGAAAGTTACTTTTAAAGGTAATGCATTACAATATTGCATTACTCCATAAAAAAGTAACTAATTACGTTACTTAGTTACTTTTTATGGAAAGTAATGCATTACGTTACTTTTGCATTACTTTTTAAATCTGGACAGGGCTTGCTTGTTTGTTTTTAAAATAAAAAATTTAAATAAAAAAGTTATCAATCTAAAACGCATGCATAAAGGTTATTATACTGCCTGCCAGTGCTGAACAATAGTGCCAGCTACGGAAAATGTGTATTTCATAAAATGACTTTGTCATTGATGCTAAGTTGACTTAATTTATGTGATTTTTCTCATTTGCACTATACAAAAAAAAATAAAAGGTGTCTCTCTATTATGCATTAATTAAATAATAATTAAAGAAAAAAAGACAGACAATTCTTAAATAATAATGATGTGGTTATTCCATTGCTTTCAAACTAAATAACACATTTTAATAACCAACGTAGTACTTGTCTGCGTGTATATTTATTTAATTGTTTATTTATTTGCATATATTTCTTATGGAACAGACTCTTAGTGTCCACTAGGAGGCTTGACTAACAAGGTATTTGTCTGGATGCAAACATTTATGGCGTAAACTGTAAAATATAGATAAAACGATGGTTTAAAGGACACGAATTGTTGCTGTTGGAGGATTCGGCGTTTGATGGGTGAGACTGGAGTCGATATGCTCATATAAACTCTGCAAACTTCAGTAAAAATGACGGAAAAACAAACAAACACTTGGACGAGCTAAGCTAAGCTAACACGGGCTAACGTTAGCTGTATTATTCCGTCTCGACATTTGTGTTTTAGCAGACAAGTGTTTGTATGCCGCACAAAATAATTACACGTAAATAGAGTCATTTGTGCGTTTTAAACGGGGCATTAAGAGTGAACGGGGTGGACCAAATGGTTTCCTTTTAATCATAAACAGTCCGTTAGCCGTCATTAGCATGTTAGCTGGGCTCCGCGCTGCGTGCTAAATAATAAATAATCCTAACGTTGTCGTGTTAAGATGCGCGTTAAGCACATATTTTTCCATCTTAGTCATATATTATCAATTTCATACGGAGTTGGCAAACATTAACGCTGATAGTGTCAGTTTCGGTGGGGGTGATTATAAGGAACAGATTTGGGCTGCGTCCCAAAACCTAGTGAGCTGCCTGGGCGATATGGGCGTGTTCGAAGTTTCGAACCTAGTAAGCTACCTATCTAGACTGCATTGTAGGTCATAATAGACTGATATTAAAACTTTCGAACACTCTCACGAGTCACCAATATGCTGTCTAGGTAGGCAATACCTTCGTTTTTGATACATAACCTTAGACGTCGGCCTAATCTGCAGCAGGATTAATAGAGCAGTAAACAGCAGGCAAAATGCCTAATTTTCTTTCCTAATGTACACATTGCAATATTTTTAACATATTTTCTGAGATACTCGTGAGGAAACACATTTGAAAAGGTGGATATTGTGAGTCTGGAACCTGCTTTGCTTTCTTTTCCATTCTCCACGGAAATGACCATCTTGGGGACTTGATATATCCAGGAATATTACAGAAATCTTTCATCGTACTCAGTGTATCGTGTCTAAATCCCTCTTTGTGTCCACATCTCTCTTTTAATCTATATTTCAGTAGATTATCAATGATCAACAGTCTCGTCTCTATTGGCCAGTCCAGTGCGCATCTATGAACTCCATACCGCCCTCCACTTCTGCCGTCAGTAGCCCTGTCAGCTCTGTAGATTCGCCACTGTCAGCCGTCAGCTCATCCATTGGCTCTCCTGGCATTCCCGGCACACCATCTGTTGGCTATGGACCCATCAGCAACTCTCAAGTGAGCGACATCGTCATGTTCTTGTGGACTCTTCTTTTTTTATTGTGTGCCTGATGACTGTTTTTCTCATCACTTCTTTTCTATTTATCTCATGCAGATAAACTCCTCAATGTCTGTGGCTGGGTTACATGCTGTCAGCAGCTCTGATGATGTGAAACCCCCTTTTGGCTTGAAGACTGTCAGTGGCTCTGGGTCAATGCTGTCCCAGAAACGCATGTGTGCCATTTGTGGGGACCGTTCATCGGGTGTGTACTAGAATATAGTGCATTCGGATTGCCTTTTTTATTAGTGATGCACCCAATTCATTTTTACCGAAAACAAAATTAAAGTTTTCATTTAGCGGAAAAACCAAAACTGTTTGAGCTTTTAAATTAAATTTGAGTGTAAAGATCTTCATTACATTTGGGTAACTGGATAACCGAACACTGGATGCTGTTCAGGGGATCGTGTACTCCGGAGATAAACTGGTCATAGTAAACTGGTCAACTTTTCGATATTTCAGCTGGACAAAGGTTAAATTGCAATTTTTGGTCATGAAGGAGTTTGTCCACTAGGCCTCTTGATTGGAATAAAAAAGTCATAACAGTCAATAGCTGTTATAAAAACTATCATGACAGATTTATTCCAAACATACATTAAATAATAAATACATCACTAGCAGGTTAAGTAAATATAATGCATTTGTAATATAGTGCATTTATATAAGAAGTGCTCCTCTCTAGAGTTACTTTTATTTTTTAATAGACCTGTTTAACGCATTTATGGCTTTCCTGAGGTAAATGCAGTGTTACATGACTATAGGACCTTTCGCACCGCTTTAGTTCCAGAACTAAATGTACGGTACTAAAGTACTGGGACGATTTTGCGCAAACTATTTCCCAGTACCATTTAAAGGGTTGCATTCGCACCGACAGTGTGTACTAAGAAGTGACGTAAGCCGATCGACAGCAACGTCATTTGTGTGCGGCGTTCAACAACAGAAACAAAGAAGAACAACATTAACAACAGGAGGATGGAGGACGCTGTGATGGGAGCTGTGTTTTTGTTGTGTCTCGCGGGTTTCACAATAATGGACATGGAATGTCGACGTATACGTAAAGCGATTGAAAGAACGGAAAGGAGGACTAAGAATCTCCAACGACAACTGTCAGTACTACATTTGCTAGCGTCTGTCCATCTATCGCTGTTCTCCATACTTGCGAAATAAGTTGACACAATGTTTACAGTATGTTTACACGCCGTTTTTATTCATGGCGGGTGAGGGCGTTTTCATACGCGTTTGGCCAATCAATGACTACTTGCGTCACGATTAGTACCAGTTGTGCTGGTTAGACCCTGCTCCGGAGTAGGAGATAATTTGGTTCTCGAAAAAAGGCAGTCCAGTACTAAAATCGCTGCCAGTTCCGGCGGTGCGAAAACGCCAAAAAGTGGGTAGTTCCACAATTAGTTCTGGTACTATGAAAAGGTTCCTGCGGTGCGAAAGGCCCTATTATTTACAAGCTGGTTTATTGGCATCTTTCTGTGGCTGAAACACTGATTTAGTGATTACATGAGATGTGATACATTTCAGTAAGGTGTAATGTTTCTTTCAACATACCTTCTGATGTTCATTCATGTTTATTTCATGCTATAACTAGCATTAAAGAGCAAGAGATCATCAGTTCACCCTTGCACTTGAACTGAGGCAGCTACAACAATCTCTCACGCCATCTGTCACGTAAAGTGCATCAAAATGGCATTGATTTATTTTTTGAATATCATGGTAAAATGGACTTCATTATTAAAAGGTTGACTATATCTTGAAAATGGTATGAAAGTTTTTCACAACTATCCGAAACTAAAATTAATACATTTCTAAGAATGTATAATGTGTTTTAAACTAGATTTGCCTTTATTTATTATTTGTTAATATTATTATTGTTATTGTGAGCAATCTTACGTGTCATTGACCCTAGTAGCATCATTCGGTTATCGGCTTTCAAAAATAAAGAATAATCGGTTATCGGTATCGGCCAAAATTTTCATATCGGTGCATCCCTATTATACAGGGGATGTTATTTACATTGAATGTTTTGAAAAATGACATTTCTTTGCAGCTCAGAGGTAATGTGAACATAATTTGTGTGTGCAGGGAAGCATTATGGCGTGCACAGCTGTGAAGGCTGTAAGGGTTTCTTCAAGCGCACAATCAGGAAGGACCTGAGCTATACCTGCAGGGACAACAAGGAGTGTCTGGTCGATAAACGTCAGCGCAATCGCTGCCAGTACTGCCGCTATCAGAAGTGCCTGGCGATGGGAATGAAAAGAGAGGGTGGGTACCTGTCAGCCTTCCACTAAAGATATGTCATCTGTAGTATGAAGTAATACACAAGCTGTATGTTCAGTAAAATATAGGTACTGTAGGTGGAGAATGGTGTCAGGTGAAAGGCACTGTAGTAGTATTATGTAATGCAGCTGGTGTTTGAATGGGTTTAATGGAAGATCAGCATTATGCCATGGAAATTCTGCATTGTTTTCATATGAGAAGATGGTGTCAGGCATAGCATGTGTTAGGAGGAGCACAATGATTATATGGAGCTACAATGACTGGTTTTGTTGATTGGGTTTAGTTAAACAATGTAAGAACAAATAGCCTATTAGTCCCCAGCTCATGACAGCTGAATGTTTTATGTGGGCGGGAAACAACCAGCAGGACAAAAACTAGGGTTGGGAACTGAGAACCACTTATGATATTGATGGTTTTGACATTTGGTTCCATTAATGGTTCTTGAATATTTGCATTCAATGCCTCATTCACTGAATCCTTTGTGTGGTTTATGAATTATTATCTGAAGAGCTGAGAACTATTGCTGTCTTATGTGGACTAAAGGTTACTAGAGAATCGTTAAGTGTGATTGCAATTGGAACTAAAATGGTTAAATTCCTTATTATTTCCATGAAGATTTTTGACAGAAAATTGATAATCAATGATTTATTTTTATACAATAATAATTGTATTTGTAATTGTTCTTGGATTGTCATAAACAGAATGTAAGTCTGTCTTTGAAGTTTGTCTTGACCTTTGAAAGTAATTTGGGTGGTAATTAGTTATTTCGATGTTACTTGGATCCAAAGCAACTTACAGTTCATGGCAGCAATCTGCTGATAAGTGTCTTGCTCAGTGACACAATGGTGATTGTTTTTGAATGGCATCTTTTGGTTTCCAGGCCACATCATGGACCACTAGGCAGCACCACCCAGTGGTGTGTTACTGATGGCCGGGTTGATTCCTTGACATTTATAAGTTTCCCCTCTTTTATCTCCCCCCAGCTGTTCAGGAAGAGCGTCAGAAGAATAAGGAACGGGATGGAGACTATGAATGCAGCAGTTCAGCCAATGAGGAGATGCCTGTGGAAAAGATCCTGGAGGCCGAGACAGCTGTAGAGCACAGATCAGACTTGCACTCTGATGCCACTGGTTCAGTGAGTATATTTACATGCCACTCATGGCTGCATATTACACTTGTTGTTTAGAAAGTCTACAGAACAAATAATATAACTAAGGAACCTGGAAACATTCTGGGATAAAGTATCGTCTTGCATTGGTTTTAGGTCTGTACGGTTCAATTCAGTCTATATAATATTTTTAAAAATGCCATACAATATTTTATTTATTGAATTAATAATGTAATCAAAAAAAAATAATATTTATTTAAAAAAGTTACTACTTTTTTTTAAATTGTTTTTGGCGCAGTGTTTCCAAAAACTGTCATTCTTCATTTAAATGTTTATTTCCATACATCTCTACCAGTCCCATCAGTCTCTATGTGTGCTTATTTTCCAGGCAACACTATAAGCATCACATTTGAATTCAGTTTATTTGATGATTCAATGTTGAAAACTTTAGATTTAAATATTTCTCTTCATGAAATGCAATTATTTCTTGACCCAAGAAATAATAAAAATGAGTTCTCATCTCGTGCAGGCGAAGTGGGACAGTCAAAATGCTGAATCCACAGAAACTGCACAAGCTCATACAAGTTTCCTGTTTCCCGAGAGCAATTTGGAATACTCTGGGGTTTTTATTGCTTACTTTAACATAGGGCTGGACAATAATTCAATATCAATATGTATCGCCATATAATTTTTTTCAATAACGGTGATATGATTTTTAAACACATTTCCGATATTTCGATATACATTACCAGTGTTTCCCATACATTGATTTATTTGTGGCGTTTGACTTCGTTGAATAAACATGAGCACTGCACGTTTCAAAATCAAAATGAGTCGTGGGTGTTTTATATGAATGTATCGCTGAAGGGAACCGACTGTCTTCAGAAAATTTTAGATGGCATTTTTATCTGATAAAGTAGCCTTCATGAGCGGAGCTGCTTTGTTTACAGCCATTACTGGAGAAACCGTTAGTTCCACCGCTCTCACAGCGCCTCCTGCTGGCAGACAAGCAGTTTGCATTTTCAATAATAAACCCATTTCCAGCAACATGCTTTTGTTGTTGCTCTATTATTTTGTTTTCTGAAGCAACTCGGAGCATGTTGCATACTCGTTATCCTGGTTAATGCACGTTTCAATCTAGAAGAATAATCAGCCTA